TTAAGTAATAAGTACGATAAAATTATAACTTACGAACTTTACAGAAAAAATATTGTAAAATATGTAAGTTATTAGTTTTAATAAACTAATCGCCTGTAATCAATAAAGTTATTAATGAAATTTTCAAGTGATGACTTACGTAGGGGAAGTAAACACAAGTTGAGTATAAGGTTTATAAATCGTATTTGCATTTTTTTTTCCCTTGCTTACTTTAACTATTAAGTTATACTGAGTATATAATTCGAATGTGATTTATAATTTGATATGAACACTAAAATTCAAAGGTACTTTGTACATTAACATTTTATTATTTTTGACAAAAAACTAATTTTTTAATATTTTGTTCTATATAAAAAGATATAAATTTATATTTTTTTCACAATATACTCAATTGTTATAGGAGCATTATATGTAAAATAATAAAAAGAGAACATGTCTTTTTTGGCTAAAACAGAAAAATATGTTTTTTTGAAAGAAAAGTCTAAATACATTGAATCTATAAGTTTATTTTTCAATTAATTGGAAGTTATATTTAATTTAATAAATGAACATATATATGATGTGATATGTCATATATGTTATATGTATGCACATACATATAGTAATATATATTATATATTTTATATGTTTATATACTATTATATGTGTATATATATATTTTTTACTTATATAATCTTGTGATTTGAGCTTCAACAATGTGGTTTATTAATTTTCCTTTATTTAATCCTTGGAAATGGAAATAAAAACAAATAAATACAACGTTTGACTGCTGGCATGGCTGGTCAGCGCAGATGCAGATAATGATTAATCCAACGCTGAACAACAATGGTGGACCTGATCGTAATTTCAGATATTTCACATGGGCAATCAAGTCTTTGCAAGAAAATTGCCTTGCAAGATTCAAACTTTGTCCTAATAAAATAATAAGGGTCAATTCCCATCGTAGCAGATAACCATGGGAGCAGACGAGTTCTCCCTCCTTGCTCCCAGGTTGAAGAGAGAGGACTACAAGCGAACCAAGCACGATACATGCTTCTCCAAATGGAAGGTCTCTCTCTCTCTCTCTCTCTCTCTCACACACACACACACACACACACACTCACTCTACCTCTGTGTGTGTGTATGCATATTCTTCAGATTAATACTTGTACTGCTGCATTTCACAAATTCATGAATTTAATCTCTATCGGTTGAAGGGTCGGGTTTTTAACAAAAGATGTCTACAGTTTTTCTCTTCATTCTTTCAGTTTTTCCATATTTCGATTCAGGAACTTGAGATAGTGTGCTTGATAATGCGAGGGATATGGTAGAAAATTGAGGTGATTAGTGATCTGGGTATCAAATTTAAGATGGGTAATTTGGTATTATGTCACTGGATATTCAGGTTCTTGTTGGGGCAAATGACTGGGAAGATTACTGCAAGGGCAAGGAAGGAGTTGGAAGATACAGGGTTTACAACCTCCCTAACAAGTCATGCCCTGGGGTTTATGAGCTTGGCATTGCTGTGGCTCACTCTGGGTTGGAGCGTGATGTTGTCAAGTTTGCCCCAGATGATATAGTGGTGACATATCTTGGGCAAGCTGAGGATGTCAGGTCCAGGCTCCAGCGTTATGGTCGTTCTGGTGCTCATTTGGCCAGTATCTACACCACCAGCAACCCAATTCATTCTCAATCAGATTCTTCTCCAAGAGGATCTGGTTTGTTCGAAGAGATCTTCTCAAGAGGCTGTTCTGTTGTGTTTAGATGGGCTCCTGTAAGTGTTTGCCTATTTTGAGTTATGCATGTTGGTGTGTGTGTGTTCTTTTGATGATGAAATTATGCATGTTGTTCAAGGAAGGATGCTTAATCTTGGGAACATGGTCTTTTGGACGAGTTAGAATTCAGATTAACTACGTCTGGCTCTTTAATTCTTTTGCGGTGACTAGTTCAATTAATTATTTAAAACAGTATGAGAAGTGATATAGTCTTTGATTGTTGGCTACTATACTATTTCTTTTAAAATATAATTTGGTGCAGAGTATGGTGGCCTGTGTTTGATTTATGTTTTTAGGCTGGTGAACTTATGCATAAGAGGAGATTAATATTATTCTATTGGCTTAAGTTTTTGAAATAATCGCTCAATCCATTATTTAAAAACAAAGAACAAATTCTCTTGCTTTTGCTATTTTACTTTTGAGAAGGTTATAGTAATGACATTTACCACCATCTTGGTGGATTAAATTAGGTGCCCACCAGTGGATACTTGGTGCTGAGAGGCTCATGTATTTTGATGTTTTATTCCCGATTTTTTCTTTTTCATTTGATTTCTTGAATATTCAATCAGATGAAAAGTAAGAAGGAAGCGGAAGAAACAGAAGCTAAGTTGCTTGATACTTTTGACTATGCATGGAACAAAGGCAGTAATGTTATACGTCGCCCTGATGAGATCCTTAAAAAACTCGATGAGATTGCTTCAAGCACGGGAAGATTCTCAAGTCTTTACAGGATATTTGTACCTCTTACTCAGAAGAAAGTGGGTATCAAAATCAAAGGAGACAAACTGCTTCTGCAGAAAAACAAAGTCTCTGCTGATGCTGATGAGGAGAGCAACAACTTTCTTTCTGGAGTAATCAAATTTAGCAGATCAAGGCCTCAATTAGTTTCTGGTAAACGTGAAACTGATGTGACCCCCAGCAATACATGTGGAGTTCTTTTAAGTGATGGTACTTCTTGTACACTGCCACCAGTACTAGGGAGGAAGAGATGTGAAGAACATAAAGGGAGGAAAATTTACGGATACAGTTTTAAGCTAATCACAGAAGGGAAATCACCTTCTTCGCCAGATTTATGCATGAATCAAGCACTCTTCATGGCCAAGATTCCCATGTTATATGTGGTGTAGCTCTTGGTAATGGGACTTCTTGTGGAAAGAAACCGATTGTCGGAAGAAAAAGATGTGAGGAGCACAAAGGGATGAAGATCAATGCCTTAATTTCAAAGTCAGCTAAGAATAAGTCTGGTGTAAATTTAGGCGGCTGCGCTTCCGATAACGAGCTGCATAATGACCCTGCATCCAAGTCTATGTTATTTTCAGACAGATGTTCTACAGATAGAGATCCGAAAACTGTCTGTGGAGCAGCATTAAGAAACGGTTCATTCTGTACAAGGTCATTGACTAAAGGACATGAAAGATGTTGGCAGCACAGGGTAAATGGGTGTGATAGTTCCTTCAGTTGCTCTTTGAAATCTGATTCACAGTCAAGATCTGTGATTTGTGGTGTTACTTCACCAGGAGGATCTGTATGTGAGAAAAGTCCTGCTGGTGGAAGAAAAAGATGCGAGCAGCACAAGGGGATGAGACTCATTGTTTCCCAATAAATCCCTATTGTTTCCCAAGAAAAAATACATGGGAAAATTTTCTACAGGTTTGCTTTTCTATGTAACAAATGTATCTTTCTTTTATTTATTTGTTTTTGGTTTAATTCTCTGTTAAGAATGGTTTAATTTATATGCAACATGTTGTATCAAAATGGAATAATAGATTAGCCTTCAGCTTTGCAACATTAGTGTTAATTAATGCTATTACCACTAATTAACACCACATAGTTAATTAAGCAGGATCTAGGGAATGCATTTTTGTCATGATTCAAATAAAAAAAAAAATTAACGTTTTAAAAAGGACCAGCTAATCTTTTTCAACAAATATTTTATTTTTTATAAAGTGATGCGACACTGGAACAATAAAATAGTAATTAAAAATTTACACGAGTGTTCCCGTGACAGCCCAGTCTCGTTTACTGAGTGACAGTTGCCGCAAGATACGCCACGTGGCATTCAAACAGACCGCCTAACAAGGTCTCCCACGAATGGTGAGAAAAGAAAAACAGTTGATCACCACACCTGGTTATTGCCAGAAGCTTCTCCAAAATCTTATCAATCCAATCGTCATTGTCACCACCAACCGCACTACTGCAACTCCGTTTCGTCGCTCACCCTACCGCGTCGAACAACAGAGAAAAGCAGCCGCTGACGATGCCGGCCGGCGAGATTCATTACCCGTCTCCGCCGTCTTCCGCGACGGAGATTTCGAGCGCTGATGGCGCTAACGAAGACGAGGCTTTTGTGTGGTCTCAGATCAAGGCGGAGGCCCGTCGTGACGCTGAATCGGAGCCAGCTCTCGCTAGCTATCTGTACTCCACGATTCTCTCTCACTCGTCGCTGGAGCGGTCTCTCGCCTTCCACCTAGGGAACAAGCTCTGCTCCTCCACGCTCCTCTCGACTTTGCTCTACGACCTTTTTCTTAACTCTTTCTCTTCTGACCCTGAAATCCGTGCGGCAACCGTCGCCGATCTCCGCGCGGCTCGAATGCGAGATCCCGCGTGTGTGTCATTCTCTCATTGCCTCCTCAATTACAAGGGCTTCTTGGCCTGCCAGGTACTCTTGTTCAATACAACAATTGACGCCTCTCTCTCGTCTTACTCTCTAGCGGAAATCTCGATCTGCAACTGCTCTATGATTAATTGTTATTGTTATCTTAAAAGCTAAAATTTTCAAATTGCACTTGTTAATGCGATTGTTGTACACGCTATGTGCAAGTATGAAACTCTGTCCTCGAATTGCTTTAATTGAGAGAATTCATTTGACGCTGAAGATTATACTGAATTTTGTTTAATGATTGCTATTTAGTTCCTCATTTATTCGGCGAGTACGATGTTTACCTAAGCGATTGTAGAGGATGATGACAAGTTACAAGTTTT